TTGGCCCGTATGTGAATAGCGTTTGATATTTCAAACACAGATGCCCTGGAATGATCGTACGCGATGCACCAAGATGCTGCCTGGCGATAACTTGGAGACGGCAACGTAGCAGATAGCAGGCGACCTTTTCCAGCTGCCTCCTTGAGAACCCTCTCGGTGGACCAGCTGTCGTCGCGGCTTTCAACCTGATCACAATCCCGAAAGCGTTGGCTCGGTCGTCGGGGTCTGGCGTTTCGAGACACGAACTGCTGCCGTGTCGTTGCCGTGCTTATTTGTACCGGGTCCTGCCATCTCAAACCGGAGGCCCCGTCCTAGTCTCCAGGGCGTACACGGTTGACCGCGAGGCCCCGCCCTAAGTTCCAGCAACGACTCCGTCCAACGTCCTCCGCACTGCCTTTGCATTCCCTACGCCCCCCCACCTCGAACCAATACCAACTCACTGCACCAGCTGCCATGTGAGGACCAACAGCGTCACGTAGGCCGCCAGACTGAGCACGGTGAGCAGGGCGACGCTGTTGCCCGAGGTGCGGAACTTGCGGACGACGGAGACGGAGCCGTCGGCGTCCTCCTTGGGGGAGGTGAAGAACTGGCGGTTGCCCTCGTGGCGGCGGTAGATTGCGACGAGCATGACGGCGGCGCCGTAGACGGCAAAGAGGGCGCCGATGGCGTAGAACTCGGACGTGAAGATCTTGAGGATGATGAGGGCGAAGGAGAACTGCGAGAGGGCGGTGCGCATGTAGGCGCCCTCAAAGGTCCGCTGGGCGGCGCGGATCTCGACGAGCCTGGGGGTGGTTAGACAGGTGCTGGGAGACGGTGATGACGGAGGCTTACTCTTCGGCGGTCAAGATGACCGACCGTGCCCTGTGAAGGCGCAGATGAAGATGGTCTTGAGGGTTTGGCTGCGGCGTGTAAGTATCGAAGGCGAATGGTCACCACTTGAGTGGATTCCGAATGATACGAACCTGGAACATGTTGAGTTGGATGAGAGGTTCAAAAGGCAATCAAGTGTTTTTGCAATCCGATCAATCCGACGCACAGAGATCGCCTTCAAAAAGGTGAAGCCTACGACGAGGGAAGGCAGGTATGAACATCCCCAGAGTCGACGATCACGAACGGCGGGTTTAGAGTTTCCTGGCAGGTGATCTCGGCCGCTGCTTGGCTCGCCGATGGTGTCGGGGATGCATCAGGTGCGGCTGATTAGATAAGGCAATAGCCGTGGCGGCAGCCAATGGCCGATGCTCATGTGGAGCAGCAGGGAGTACTAGAAGTATTCATCGCAGAGTCTCTGCCATTGCGTGCATGGCATGGCATGGCGTCGTGCATTTGTCTGCTGTCGCAAGTGCTATCTATCTGTCTTGCTCCCGCCCCAGGCCTGCATCGCATGGCTCACTCAGCTCGAGGGTCTCTGGTGGACTCTGCCAGATGCAAAGATCTTGGCAATCCAACGCCGCAGCGCTTCATTGGCGCTGCCGGCTGACTGTTGCTAGATACATTCGCGCTGCCATGTTCGGGTAGTGCACCGGTCCGGTCGGCGAGAGGTAATTCGTCAACAGGATGATCAGGTCGCCCATTTGGCTTTCAACCTCGAGCAATGTGACGCAATCAGGGCAGGTGAATGTCTCTGTCCACTGGTGCCAACAGGAACCCTTTGGTTCAGCTGGCAGTCGCCGGGGCTCGTTGCATCGGCGATCTCGAGTGGTTTTCTCTCCTATCCTCTCCTCGTACCTGTGGTGGTGCATCTTGACGACATCTGCCGGAATGCAATGCCCACGATGGCCGGGCTTGTGCCGCAGCGGCACACCGCAAATCGGGACTTCGGAGTCGGTGTGGCGCTGCGCAGCCTCGATGGTGCTTGTTCTGTGCCGTGGTCGGCGAGGTGCACCGCCCGGTCTTCCTTGTCGTTGAGAAACTGCTTGAGTGGTCGCCCAGGGTTCCCGACGTCGATAAAATAACCCGAGTGCCATCACCGCACCGCAGCTTGCGGCTGTGCTCAATGGTGCCAGACCCCACAGATAGATATCCGTCCCTGGCGTCCGATGCGGCGCGACGTTTGCCATGTTTCGTGGATGCGAGAGCGATGACATGACCACGAGAGCGACGCGAAGAAACGCTTTGCTAGCAACGGTTCCAGCGCTGCAACAGTCAACGTGCCGCACCTGTCAGCCACAGCTCCGCGGGGATGCCATCCCGGAGCAGGGGCCGGACAATGACATCAACCGCTGCAGGTCTGACTGACGATCGCCAGGAGGTTCTCGAGGCCAAACACATTGCGACATCCAAGGAAGAGAGGGACGGGTCGAAATGTGAATCAGCCGGATATGGAAGTGTGCCTCTCGGTGAGCACAGGCTGACCGGAGCACGACCTAAGAGATTAAGCAGCAAGCAGCAAACACCAAACCAAGCATCAAGCATCAAGCTCTCGAGGGTCGAGGGATGCGGCAGTGGCTGCTTTCTGTAACGTGCTGCGTGGGTTACCATAGGGCGTGTCTGTGTCTGTCTGCCCTGGGGCTGAGGAGAAAGCCCAGCGGGTGCATCAGAGAACGCCTCGCTCGTCGAGGAAAAGTGGAAGAAGTGCAGCTGGGCGTAACATCCATGGAGGTTAGGTAGTCGGATACCTCGGTTGACAGCGAGGAAGCGGTGGGCAGCGGAGGTTCCTTCCAATCTGAGCCCCCGGCCCCCATTCCGCCCTACGGCCAAGTGTGCCTGTGGCTGCTGCTACTTGCTGGGTACATAGTGGCTGCGTCCTCCACTCACAGCGGTCCCTTGATTTAGAGGACCCACCGTGCGGGTCGTCGTGCTGCGAGAGGTCCCGCGGAACGAACAAGACTTGGACTAAAATGCGAAGGGTAAGGGAAAGCGAGAGGACGTACTCCGTAGACGGGAAAGAGGGGGGAAGCTTTTCGGGGGTCCAGCGAAGAAACACGCAGCGGCGCCAAATAAGGTACGGGGCCACTGCACTATGTAGTGTAGGATTACCTTACGCAGTAGGTGTGCAGGTGGTGCTCCCTCGTACCTTGTGTCGGGTGGTTCGCATTTGCTTGCATTCCACTGGACGGATGCCTTGCAGCAAGGCAGCCAGAGGAACCCCTCAGCATCGATGTATGGTCCTTTCTAGTGTAAGATGCGCCGTCTGGCCACTGGCTATCAGATGCTTTTCGTCAGATGTCTCTCAACTCTGCTCTATTAGCATTTGCTACCTGTGAGAAAGCACATGCCTCCTCGCGGCGGTTGAGGTTTCGGCTGAACGACTGGTCTGAACCCTCGACTGGTCGTCCACGACGATGGCTGTAGTTGGTGTCGACAGCCCGAACAAGCCAGGAACCTTATGGGACCTGGACCTGGACTGGGCCTGACTACGGCCTGCTGCCCCCTCTTCAACTGTAACCGCATCTCGTCGAGCAGAGGGCGGCGTTGTGGCGGCGCATTACCGCCTCGGTGGGCTGCGCATCCCGACCAGGATGTTGCCGCCCACAATCGACACGAAATCCGACCGAGACAACTCGATGTGGGATGGGATGGGATGGGATGGGAGCTCTCCTACGCTACGCAGTCCCAAGGTATGCAGTAGCTAGCTGAACCTGAACACAGACAGCAGGACGGCCAGAGAGACAAGACAACCCAGAGACAAGCAGGTGATGGCACTAGACTAGGCAGACTGGACAGCAGCCCTAGACAGGCCCCGTCCCGTCCATCTCCATGTCTCTGTTGTCCAACGGCAAGGTACCTCAGGTAGATACTTGCTACTGCCATACTGGTGACGTTGGTTTGGCCTGCAGCAGAGGTACGCTTGACGTGCTGTGCTGTTCTATGCAGCACAGAGAATAAGCCGTCGACCTTAACTTTACCAACCTACTTGCTTTAGGTAGATACTTTAGCCACACCTCACTTGGCTTCCGCTCCCTTGGATCAGCTACCTGCGCAGCCGTACCTTGGGCAGGTACCTTCCAAGTCCCGCGTCCCACCCCCAACCTTCCAACCACACAGCACTCGTCCCTTTCGTCCCATCGTCCATTGGGCATCTTCCTCTCTCTCACTCTCCCATCACCCTCTCCCCTCCTTCAGATCTGTCCGTCTCCAAGGCTTGTCGACTCTGCCACAATCAGTCCGATGCCACGACCTTAGGCTCTCTCCCACGCGCCTCGCCTCGTTTTCCAGTCTCTGCATGAAATCATCGAGTCTCGTCCAGCCTCTGCCGCGCCCCGGACACTGGATTTCGAGCCTCTTTAAACATACAGATCGCGGATAATCAGTCGCATATCCCACTCCCGTCATCCCGCTCCGCGCTCCCTGCTGAACGTTCGAACCCCCGCCAAAACCACCATCCTCCGGTCCACCAGTCTCCATTTTGGACATCTCCCTTTTTGCTACCACCAACATCACAAGAGCGTGAGCGCATCGCCAGAAGCCGCAATTACGGTCGCACCAGCACACACAGTTGGCACTGCTGATCGTTAGGCCCATTCCGACCCTTGCTGCTTGTCCCCGGTTCTTGGTGCGGCGGCGCGCGCAAAAGACATCAGCCAGCAGAATAAGCGCTGGTCAAAAGACGCCGCCAACCCACCTCTCTCTGGACCACCCTACCGCCGCCCCTCCACCACGGAACACATTTCTTGTGGCTTTCTCCCCCAGCCTGCCGAGGGCCAGACGTTTCTCTCCCAGAAACAACATCTTCCTCCAGCGCAGCCTTGATTTTGTCGGATTAACGCACATTTATTTGCCACGAAAGTTGGCTACACCATTTGACGAGGCCCGCAAGACGCTCTCTTACTGTGCTTGCCAACACTCGCTTCCGCCTGCCGTGTCGTGTTGCTCCTACAGCTACTACTCTACGCAAGAACATGACATAGTATTCCCCAAGCATCGGGAGCGAACCTGCCTCAGCCTTGGTCTCCAGTCACTTGATCAACTTCCAAGACCGGCCAAAGCTGTAAACAAGACCTAGATATTCTCCATCCAACGCCGTCCGCTCTTAAGCGCGCCCGGCTCAATCATCAGTCACCATGACTTCGACCTACGCCGTCCCAGCCTCGTTCCACGACGAGCAGGCGAACGAACCCCGCAACCCCTCCCCGCCGACAGGAGGCAATCAGCGCCGATTGACTGCCACCTCCTCGTTTGACCCGAATCACCTCTCGCCCGCGTCGCAACTCCAGAGCAGCTCCGTGTCGCCCAACTACAACGACACCCCGGCCGAGTCCATCTCAACCTCCTACAGCCAGTACCACAGCGACTACACCAGTGACATGGATGACTCCCTCGACCCCTTTTTTGGCGTCGACTTCAACGCAACAGAGCCCGGCACGCCATCATTCCTTGGCCCGGAGAGCAGGACCGACAGTTTCGGCCAGAACGCCATCGCCCAGAGCTTCAGTGAGGCCCGGAAGCGCAACGGAACCCTGGAGGCCAACTCGTATCCCTTCACCCCCGAACAGACTGCTTCGCTCCACACCACGTCCCCGGGGAGCGACCGCAGGACGATTGCCAAGTCCGTGCCCGACCGCCTCCCAACTTCTATCTCACCTCAGGAGCTCCAAAGACCTTTCCAGGCGCAGTCTTTCGCCCCCTACGCGGTGCAGCAGCCCACCCTTCAGCCGACGCCCGACCCCAGCGGCAGCGGCCGTTCCAGCGAGGACGGGGCCGTGCCGTCCCCGGCCATGGCCGCCGCCCAGAGCCCGCGAGTCACCGTCTCCATGTGGGGCAAGGACGACGCCGAGCCTGTGCAGTCGATCGAGCGCACCTTCACCCCGGACGACGAGAACTCGTCGACGGCGCGCGGCGGCGGCATCAGCTCTGCAGGGGACCTGATTTCTTCGCAGGAACATGCGCCATCCCGGCGCTCATCTTTCAGCCGCCGGGGCCTGGATCCCGACAACAGGCCGTCGATCGAGGTCGACAGTGTCAATGAGATGGTGAGGGGCCGCCAGATTAATGAAAAGAACCAGGAGGTCGACCACTGGCTCAACAAGTCCATCGCTCCGCCTCCGCCTCAGGAGACCGTGCAGGCCAGTCCCAAAGACGTGGCCGAGGATGAACGTCTGAACAGGCCCATTGACCTCGGTGACCAGACCGAGAATCGCCAGCAGTCAGGACAGACCTACTTTACCGGTGGAGGCGGCGAGATGACAGCCACAGACTTGCACATAATGCGCCAAAATAGAGTCTGGGGCGACGCGCCGACAATTCAACAGATTAGCGGACCAAGCACGGATAGGTATCAACCAGAATCGTCACAAGCCGCCATCGCCCGCTTCAACAGGATGTGCATGGACAATGAGTCCATCGTCTCTAAGGCAGCTACATGGGGCACCCGCCGCCGAAACTCACTGCCTAGTCTACACGACGTGGACACCGAGAATGTCACCAGTGGCAGCTTATTGAAGAAGTTGTCCATCAGCAGGGGCGAGGGCGGCCGGAGACCGAGCATCCTGAAAGAGCTGCGCGGCATTGTTCGCCGACCGAGCGCCACGTTCAAACGGTCGAGGAGCATCCACGAGGACGAGCCCGCCAGAGCTGAGGCGTCGCCTACGGAGAAACGGGACAGCTTGCCTAGCCTCATGCCAGGCCGCACCGGCAGCTGGGGCACCAAGAAGGCGCCGACACCAAGCATCAACACCGCCCTGATCTCCATGGGCGGCACCGTGGCCTCCATCGGGACGACCCACGCCAGGACCGGCTCGATCACTGCCACGCCAATCACGTCGCCCAAGAGCCCCTTTGGCGGACTGCAGGTCAGGAATACTCTGCGACGACCAAGGAGCAAGTCCGACCTGCCCAAGGGAAGCAGTGGCAGTGGCGAGACACACTCCAACCTCGTGGGCATGTGGAGGAAGACGGGCGGTCCGCCAGTGGCCAACCTCGCAAAGACTTCATCCACCAACCTCGACCTGGATGATGACGATGACGACGACGACGAGTTTGAGGAGGGCGAGGCCAACTCCGAGTCTGGCAAGCTGATTGACAGCATCACGCCGAACTTTGCAGGATTTCAGCAGCACATTCTGAGTCTGAATCCGGACCTGGCTGACAACCACAACTTCCTCGTCGACCGAATTGCCCACCAGCAGGTCGTTCGGTACAAGACGCTCCTCAACGCCAAGGTCAAGCACCTCGTCATCGGGGCAGCCTGCACGAGCGGCAATCTCTGCCAGGCCCGTGGCGGCCGCCCCGTCCTCCTCGATCAGCGTGGTGACCTCCGCGAGCTCGACCCGTTGTCGACCGGGCTTGACTCGGGAGACGGGGATTCGACACCCATCGAGGGTGCTATCACCAAAGATAGCTTCCCCCAGGACATCCCCATGCCGCCCACCCAGTCTCTGCCGGCTGAATTCGAATGTCAACTGTGCTTTGCGCTAAAGAAACCAAAGAAGCCGTCTGACTGGACCAAGCACGTCCACGAAGACGTGCAGCCATTCACCTGCACCTGGGACAGATGCAGAGACCCCAAGATCTTCAAGCGCAAGGCCGACTGGGTGCGCCACGAGAACGAGGGGCACCGCCACCTAGAATGGTGGACCTGCGACGTCGAGGACTGCCGCCATACCTGCTACCGCCGCGACAACTTTTTGCAGCATCTCGTCCGTGAACACAAGTTCACCGAGCCCAAGAACAAGACAAAGGCGGCCATCAAGCGGGCCGGTGGCATGGACCCGACCTGGCAGAAGGTGGAGCAGTGTCGCCATGAAACGACCAAGAAGCCCCAGGAGGAGCCGTGCCGGTTCTGCGGGAAGCAGTTCCCGTCGTGGAAGAAGCTCACGGTTCACCTGGCCAAGCACATGGAGCACATCAGCCTGCCCATCCTCCGGCTTGTTGCGGCCAAGGAGCTGGAGCCGGACACGATCATCAGCCCCGTGCAAGATCCGCCCCCGAGGACCATCTTCCCAGACCCCTTGAGCGCCACGTCGGCCGTCAAGACCGAGCCGTCTCAGCCGCAGGGCTTCATGGACCCGTACCAGCAAAACATGATGCCAAACAGCGGGTTCCAGTCCATGGATCAGTTTAGCTACGCGACGGGCAACGCCGGCAACTCTTTTGACTACATGTATGGGACACAGTACACGAACAATGGCCAGTCGATGGGCGGCCACAACATGCTGGGTGTCAACCAACCCGTCAACCGCGGGTTCAACCAGCAATACCAGAACGCCAACAACATGGGCATCTCTGGTCACTTTACGGGTGCACAGCAGTTTGGGTCGATGGACACTGAGCCCTTCCCCTCCCTGGATCAGAATGCCTTGGGACTACAGCAGCCCTCGCAAATGAGCTCCCAGATGACCTACGATGGGCTCATGGGACAAAACAGCATCAACAAGAACCAGTACGGCTCTCAGGGGTCGATTTCACCGTACTCACACTCGCCCCTCCAAGGCGGCGGCGGTTTCTATCCCCCCCAGTGAGGTGTGATTTGTCGAGAGTTTATCCGGTCTTCAGATCAGATTGGCGCGTGTTTTGGATACCCCTCTTACCTTGTGTATTGTTATGTCGACTACAGAGCTGCTCAGACAAGCTTGGTGTTGGAAGGGTGAATTCTTTTTCATGAAATTTTGACGAAACATCTATCACGGCCGACACAGGATGGGAGTGGCGAGGCGTCCACGAGTGAAATAGTAAAACGGATATGACGTGTTTTATTTACCAGCAGCGAGTGCTGTTGTTGGCCAGGACTGAAGCAGTTTGCTATGTTGTTCGGGCACCGGCCGATGTTGGGCAGGTGGTGACGAGATGAGGCCGCCGAGGAACACAGACAGCGGACTGCTTCGAGTGGGCGGGAAATTATTATTTTTTCTCTTTGACAATGTAAAAAACCCGGATAGACAAACCATACGCACTACGCAAAGCAAGCCTACCTGTTGTTATCTGATGGCAGTGCACGCACGCGATGTGACATGTTGCGTGAGATGGGACACCTCCCCCCTTGGGTCCACCAGAGAAGCATTTTTAGCACCCGTCAGTCCAATTTTCCAGAAGGGCCGACGAATGGACGAGAATCGATCTGGCGAGGGTGGGTGATTTGCGCCCAGCTGCCGAAGCGAGCCGGATCCCCGAGGAGTTATCGAGACGGACGCAGGCCGTTGGACGGGTGGCCAGAGGAGGAACCAGGTTTTTGGGTGGAGGGACCACAGATTACCAAGGCAAGAAGACGCAAGACCAAAAGCAAAAAAAGCGTGTTGCAATTCGCAAATGATGGAGAAGGGGTGGTGGGATGGGGATTGCGAGGACCCGCTTCATACGAGGCGCAATGCCTCCCCACCCGCCCCGGTTCACTGTTCACTGCTCACTGTTCTTGAGCAGCTGCCAGCGCGTCGTGGGTTGTGGATAAGTGGTTAATGACGGGACGGACGGCGGGCTGGCGGGCGGCGGGCACAGGTGGATGATCCCCGATGCGCTCTTGTGCACGCAAGACGGAAGATGGCGGGAGGGGGCTGTTGCATATCTCTGTTGCGGGAAGGAGATGGGAGGAGACGGACGGAGACGGGGGACGGAGGTTATTCTGGATCTGGGGCCTGATTGTCGGTATCGTGCATGGAAGCGTGCGTGAGGTAGAGAGGTGTTGGTGGGAGGTCCTTGTTAGAGGGCGTCGGTCTGGATTTCTTGATGGGGAAGGCATGGGCGGTTCATGGGGGCATGGATTTTGGTGACGGCGCTTTCGACGGTGCAGAGCTGCGATGTGTGATGTGATGTCTGCCTTTTCTTGGGTTGAGCTGCGAGCTGAGACATCATGTCTTGCCTTGTAGCTTCGGCCCGGCCGGTTAGACACTAGGACCGAGGGGGCGTGAACATTCCTAGGAGAAGCAACGGAAGGCTCTCGGGACAAGGCCTTCTTTGCAGATTGGCGAGGGAAAAGAGAGGCGGAAGATCAGGGCATTGTTGGGCCGCGTTTCTGGCGCAGCAGGCGGAGGGGGATTATGACGAATGGGAGGTATATTGAGGTTCTTGTTAATGTGCTCTGTCATGTTTGATACCGTGATGTGAGTAGTGTGTCCCGAGGGGTCGGAGCACGGGGATGGCAATGGAGGCATGATGCATGTTTGGATGGGGAGGCAGCCAGTGACGGATGTTTCTTTTACAGTTTTGTGTTTCCCCGTGGGATAACTGTAGATACGGTAGAGGACTAATCAATGGCTACGTGGTTTGCTGTGAGAAGCACTCTGCATACACGAGAGGTTACCTAGGGGTTGAAGCACACGGCGTTGAACCAAGGTTTCTGGCGTTTTGTTTCTGGTGATCGACCTTTTGGTAGGGTGACAGTGGCATGACGGACAAACACTGAGACAGACACATTCCTCGGGATGGCAACCGTGAAGCCCGCACGACGTTGCCGACTGGCGAGACGATGACGGCGGGCTGGGGAAGGGAGGGGAGTCTCTTACTGCTGATTACGGGGATTGAGGGTTTCGTGATGGGCAGAGAGTCCCAGTCCCAGTCCCAGTCCCAGGGACGGGGAACCGAGGGCGAAGGGGAAGAAACAGACTTGTTTTGGATGGACGGTGACGAAAGACCGGATTGCATTTCAAGGTTTTGAGGGGTTTGTGAGGGGAAAGACGAGGAGTGGCTCAGCTCAGCTTTTACGCTAAAAAAGGGTTCAAGTCGACGAGAGATCGGACGGGATTGACAAGATTGGCACGTCTGAGCTGGGGGGATCTGAGGCGTGAGTCGTTGCGTAGAGGCGCATCTGCTGGCGCATCCGAGCTGGAAGGGAGGTGGCGCATGCTTGAGGCGGCGGCGGCGGCATGCTCGTGCTGTGCGTCGAACCGTCTGTACTAGACCGTCCAGACGAAGGGTTCAAGCAGGTTTGACGGGCAGAACGCACAGCAGCGCTCGAACGGACGTGGCGCGTCACTTTTCTTTCTTCACACGACCCGGTTTGCGCCACTGACAGGACGGCATGGCATGGCGAGCAGCGACAAGGCGCAACCCGGGGGGCACGGGCGGGAAAGAGGGAGCGAACGGGAGATGGGACGGCGGCAATGTAGGTACAAATTACGGTAGCAGTGTAATTCCCGACGATGCTTGATTGCTGGACGTGCTGCGAAGAGAGAGAGAGAGAGCATGGACAGACAGACGGTCAAGAGGGTGGGATCACCTTGCCTTATCTCTGTGGGACACGCGCGGCAGTTGGGGCCGTTGACGTTGACATTGACGGCGCCGGATATTGGAAAGTTTGCTGTTAAGACGATGGCGAGGGTGGTATTGACGACTTATGCTGGTAATGCTAGCCGTGCGGTTGCATGCAAGTCGTGGTAGCGATGATGGATAGAGACGGCCAGCTGGGTTATTTTTAATAGCAGGCAATTTTCCAGGGTATCAATCAGCGAGCCAGCTATCAATCAATAATCGACCCGTTCGAGGGGAAACAGTGGTTCTGGCGTCTGGTTGAGGGAAAGACAGAGTCAAGACCAAGACAATCGAGCGGGAAAATTTCCCGTAGTCTCGGTGGTGAATTTCTTCAAGCCCACCCGCCGAAGCCTACGAAGCGAGAAACATGTTCGACCTCGCGCTGGCATTCGTCGTCGTCGATTGATGATGGATGGCGTCTTTTCGTCTCCTCAGCGAAGAATTTGCTGTTCCTGCTCCTCCTTCTCCGTGATGATTGATGATGGCGCAGTTTCAGACAGGACCGGGGTCCGGGACCGGTCTGGTTCGGGATTCCCTGCTCTGGGCGTGGCGCCGGCCGCTTTACCCCCGCCCTCGCCTGCCCGCGGGGCCCTTGGTTCAATTCCATGTTCATGTTCATGTTCTCTGCCCACGCGAGACGCTCTGCCGTTTGCTGGTCGCCAACAAACCGTTCAAGTACACCTATCCCACGGAGTAAATACTTGGGTAAGAGAGATCGAACGGCGTCAGCCAATGAGCCCAATCAAAAAAGCCCCGTCGAGGCATTCGAGACCGGTTTAGCCACCCACCACCCACTACGGTAGGAAAGGAAAGGCGCGAAAAAAGAAGAAGGGAAAAAAGCACTCCCCTGTCGATCTCCTGGCCAAGCCCCCTCCGAGACCCCTGACTGATGCAGGGGCGCTTGCAAGTTGCAGCTCGGGGGGCGAGTGAGAGTTGTGAACGGTGCTGTTTCTTCAAGGCCCCTGATTGTTCACACCTACTGGATTTTGCAGCGTCTATTACTGCGTGTGGACAGCACATGCCGCTGGGCGACTGGTCAAGCGCCCGAGGGAAGAGAGACACCGGAGGTTGGGTAGCGGTTCGTTTGTGAATCATGTCCGGCGGCGGATAGGACTGTGTCTCAGCTCCACAAGAAAGAATGGACTGCCACGCAGTTTTTCTCTCTCTGTGTGTATCAAGTTCATCCGTTATTCATCGTTCAGTGCCCAGTGGTGATTGATGCCTGCTATCCGTCGTTGGATGCCGGACTCCAAACGGTGGTAATTTGGTGGCAGGTTGTAGTGAGCAGATTGGATTGCCAGGTACTCATGCAGCACGCGCATGGTGCAGAGGTACTTCCGCCCGTTGCCTGCTGGAAGTAATTTGTTCCCTGCTGCAATCCCGGGCCCCCCAATCTCTTGTTTCCTCACCAGCAAGGACTCGCAGCGGCGACGGACCAGTCCAGACTGGCCGACCACACGACACCACCACGAGTCTAGACAGATGCCATCCAGGGGCTCGTTGCTTGTGCCGTTTACGGATACCTCTGTGCCTCTGCCATGTACTGTGCGGTAAGGCACACCACGCCCGTCGGTCCGTCTGACACGCTACTGTATTCCTCCCTCTTCCCTGCAGTAGCTTCGTCCCAACTGCGCGCAGGACTCGCTCGACCGGCGAAGCTAACAACACGAAGGCGCGCCATCAGACGGGACGGCGGGCGACAAGCACGCCGCACCATGCCATGGCTGGCGCCGGTGCCGTGCCCGGCCATGGCAGTTGACGCTGAGAAGACTCTCTCCAGACTGCACAGCACAGCACAGCGGGAGATGACTGCCCACGGTACCTGAAAGCCCAACCTTGGGAAGACGACAGACCCAGTTCGTCAGCGCCGGATCGCGCGTGGGCCGTCCCAATCCTTGGGTTATTACTGGCCATATGAGGCCCGACAGGGGCAGCGACACCTTTGCAGGCCTTCGGCTGGCTGAGAGGACTCCGTGAGCAAGGAACATGTCAGGGACGAGGCTCCAATCGAACTTGCGCCTAGTGGAGGCGGCCGGGGTATGGACGGGGGTGTGGACGAACACGACGACCTGCCTTTGCTTTGCGTCTGTCTGTCTCTGCTGCTGCTGAGCGAGTGCTTCGCAGACGCTCCTCGAGAGAGAAAGGACTTCTGGTCCAGTCCAGTCCAGGGTCCATGTCCACCATGTCCCATTTCAACATGGGCCTGTGGATGAGAACAGACGACGCTGAGGTCGCTTCCAGGCTTGGGTCCCCGTCTCCCGCCAACCATCGATCGCCAATC